GGGATCAATTGCATCACTGGTTGCCTGCAGCAGAGGTTGCGCAGTAAGCCCTTCTCGCCCTAGGCTCAACCTCAATTGACCCATTCTTACTTCGAGGTTTACACCAGCCGTGCGCAATCGTAACATGGCTAGTAACCCAACCTCCTCAACGTACAGGTCCAGAGGGGTCAGACCAGTAATTAATTCCATTGCCGCGATTGGTGTGGTTCTTATGGCTCCTGTGGCTGTGGCTCCGTACGTTAGCATAGGTCTGATTATTGTAGTGTAGAACCAGGTGACTACACGGGGTGGAAGACCCCATGCGCGTCCCACTGTCCTTTGACATTGCTCATAAGCCACATATACTCTTTTTGCTCTACTTTGTAGATGACAGTTCCATGTTAGCTTCCTTTCGAGGGTAGTACCAAGGTATTTCACTATGCCCACTTGATACTTGGAACAACTCTGCATAGTTTGTGTACTATCAGTCAACGTTTTCTAACTTTCTCCAGAAAATTATTGGAATTTTGAGTCAATATTTGACTGCATTCTACAATTCAAGTTTCATAACAATCGAATTGTTTATAAGTGAATGTATGCCTAAACATTATCCAGAATTTCTCCACAAATGATTTCAAGATTTCATCTTCATCCTTTGTTCAACATTTTATTTTTATCGATCTCACCATATGTGATGAGAATAGTGGCAGCAGCCTTCGAATTTTTTTAAGAAATTGCTTGCAAGTATCCCTACATAACCACAATCAACGCTTTTTAGATTTCTTTGGATAATATTTGAAAATGTGAAAACTGAACTCTTTTTTCACATGATCCAAATTTAAATCTTGAAATGACGTTGGATATAATATATATCATAATTATATGAAATATGTATGCTGAAATGGGCTATAATATCAGTATTTTGTGACGTGGAACTCAATCATAGACCCACTGTACCACTGTTACCGTTTTATTACGTACTATTTGAAATAATTACATTTTTTTCATAACGTAAATTAGTACGTACAGCTCATATGAAGGTAACATATTATTTTTCGAATTCGATCGAAGAGCAGACTACATAATTCAAATTATTTTCATTCACATAAGCTTTTTTTATTTTTTCTTATATGAACTAGGTGAGCTAGATGATCCATTCCTTCCACCATGTTTCCTTGGTATTTTACAAAAAACATTGATTCTTCAAATTCATATTCATCCAGAGAGCTATTCCAAATTTTTCTATACAGTCAATCTTAAGTATATTGAAAGTACCATTTTGCCCTCTTTTCAAATTGCGTAACACCACAAAGCAGCAAAGTGTCACATCAAATCTACCCCTATAGTCTTGAATAAAACATTGTAACCTTATTTTAAACCCATTCTCGGTTTGTCCTTTTCTGTTTCCTTTCGGTGAGAAGTAGACTGGACAAAACATTCCGTAATCGAATTGCCGTACCGCCACTATTTCAGTGTACTTTTGTTATTGATGGATTTTTCCTTCCGGTCATTCTTCGGAAGCTCATTCCAAAATACCATTTCATTAACTATATACATCATTTCCACCATCCATTGTGTCATTCTATGAGCACGTTATTATGTTTGATGAATTGTTCGAATAAATGAATACATCCATTTTCGGATGATAAACTATCCAGATATTCATTTCTGTTCAATAAAATGAAAACTATATGAACTGTTTGATTATGTTTATCTTACATTTGATTCATTTAGATGTGAACCTTGTTATATTTTGGAATATATTTGTCTTCAGATAATATCAGTTCGAATAAATAACGAAACGGTGTTATTTACAAACCATAATGGGTCCACAAAAAAGTGGAATATTCTGGAATCTGTTGGTAAGTTCTGATTGAATCCAGAATATTTTTTTATTGAGCTTGGGCTGAAAAGTCACGGGCCTGAAAAAGTTCAAAATTGGCTTTATACATCGACGTAACCTCCATCAAGAGGATACAATCATTCCAGCGTATTTCAATACCATTTTTGTAAAACGATTTATCTCTTGCCTCAAAATAATAAGCCCCATTTTCAGTATTGAATTCGTCATTCGAGCGAAACTTGTTACCGGTGAGCATTTTTTTTAGGTCTGCGAACAGCCAGTAGTCTCTGAGAACCAAACCTGGGGAATATAGTACATGAGGGAGCAAATTCAAAGCCCATTTCATGAAATGTTTCCATTGTTTCCATTGATTTGTGCATTGCCTTGATGAAGCAGCACTTCCCTGTTCTTCAAATGGGCTCGTTTTTCCACAATTTGAGCCTACAAACGCTCCAATAATGCTTTATAATATTCACTGTTGATGGCATTTCGCTTCTCAAGATAGTCGATGAATAATACACCAAACACATCCCAAAATACCGAGACCATAACCTTTCCAGTCGATTGTAGTACTTTCGGGCACTTTGGACGAGATTCACCAGTTGCTCTATACCCAGATGACGATCGTTTTGATTCTGGAGTGAAGTGATGGCTCCATGTTTCATCTATTGTCACATATTAATGCAGAAATTGTCAAACACTTCTTAGAATCATCAAGAAGCAGTGTAAAATTAGAACACGAAATTGTTTTTGATCCATTGTTTTGAAAATAACAAAAGTAGTGTCACAATTTTTTCAATAACTCATAAACTTATGATTAGAATATATTTAAAAATTTTTACAGCCCCAGTTGAGTTGCCCCAGAGTATAACACAATAGCTAATGTGAGAATGATAGAGGGAGAAATATGTTATTTTCAGTGTATCGAAACGAGTTTTATTTCTCAACTGACGCAATAAAAAAAGGGTTCTAGATGATTTTTTACCCAATTGGTCAATATGACAGGTCCAAGTGAGAGTACTATCGACAACCAACCCAAGTAATTCAACACTGCACTTGATGTAGCGGCAGAGCTTGTTTGAAACTGTAACTGTTGCGTTTTATCTATATTCTGTCGATTTGACACGAACCAACTTTCTGCCTTCTCATCGACTTCCTTTGATGTTCCAGGTAGTTGAATAGATTTTTTTTCAGAGTAAATAAATGTAGTGTCATCGGCAAACAAAACAGATTTATATGGATGCATGAAATTAATAATGTCAATTACGTAAATTATGAATAGAAGTGGTTCCAATACTGATCCTTGGGGAACACCATGTTTAACGAGTTTTAAATTCGTAATGCAAGTATTGCTGCGTAATAGCTGGGTGGTTACCTTGTTCGAGATTATCGACTACTTCACTCAACACATTGAGAAGTGCCATTGCTGTAGAGCTGTACTTACGAAAACCAAACTGAGATTCGTTGAATAATTTATATTTCACATAATATGCGTAATGACGTTGTTCAATAATTTTCACAATTATTTTGCTAAAAATGGATATTATTGAAATGGGACGATAATTGTTAACAAGAGAAATGTCTCCGTTTTTTGAACAAAGGGATAACTTTTGATAGCTTAAATGCATCAGGAAAAATACCACTTGTGGATATTACATTTATCAATTTGGAAAGAGGCTGACGCAACAATATCTGGGAGGTCTCTTCAATGATATTACTATTTAGTTCATAAGCGTCTAAGCATTTGGAATTTTTGAGTGAGCTAATTGCATTCTGAACGTCTTTTTTGGTCACTGGGCCCAGAAAAAAGAGCTGCATACCGTTGGTAGAGATTCAATATTGTTTGATTCCGCACAATAGTGGAAATAATGTAAATACAATCAGTAAACAATGAGTAAAATGAACAGATCAAATCGTAAATAATGATTTATCAGTAATTCTGAAGGATAATACGAGGAGATAAACGCCTAATGAAATGAATAGAGTGTCATTTAGTAATACAAACTTAGAAATAAGTCAGATGACTTCTACAGGGTATTTTCCAAAGGGGACAGTTGATTTCAAAATATTACAAATATGTATAGAGCATGCAGAAAAGTAATTCTCAGACCAAACTGAAAGAGAAAGCCCGCTGGAAACATATACGTTCACATAAACTTTGAATTATACGGAAGAGTTATTGAATGAATGAATTGAGTACTTAATTTTGGTAATCTTATCTGGATTGGTGCTGAAGAGGCAATAAGACAAGTGCCTCATTCCGAAACATCTGATGTTCGCCATTGAGGATGACAATTTTTCATGCTATGTGAAATTTCACCACAGTAACTCACTATATTGTGTAGCAATCCTGTAAATTATATCCGATTCAATTCTATGGCGATAAATCTAAGTTGAAATATTCAATATAGAAATTGTTCAACTTGAGAAAAGTTTAGGTTATTACTCATATTTTATGTATAAATAATGATACTGATAATATGCATACACAAAATCAGTACTACCATTTTTAAACCACGTTTCACAGAATAAAACAATATAACGTGGTTACTGGTTAGATTTTTATAATACTGCCAACGGTATATGTCTATCGCACACTAAACACTGGAAGTATGTCCGACGAGAGAGGAGGAGCCTGCCTTTCGCTGTCGTATGATTGAGAAAAAGGAAGCCGGACAGACTGGAGCTGTAATGCATTTGGTAATGCATTACAGCTCCGGACAGACTGGAGCTGTAATGCATTTGGTAATGAAGCGGTGTGGACGTAATTGGCCTTATCTTCGAGATGCATACTATACTTTTTCTACGACTGACCGTAGAAAGGAATGGTAGTAGTTTATTTTGAAATTAATTGTTTTTTTTCTTTCTTTGGAAGATTTTCATATTATTTGTTAGTCATCAAAAACTATCTTTATCTATTTATACCAAGTGTAGTGGTCGCCTCTTAAATGTATTCAGTGAACCGAAAAAGTTATTGAACCGTAATTCACAACAAACCTGTAATATTCGTCAAACTTTGAGAGACTATTAATGAATATATACTTGAATATACTAATTACTGTCAAGGTCACCGGAGACTCTGCAACAGCGATTAAACGAACCGCTAGTAATTCAATCTTCGTTAAGTATCCCAACTACGGAGCCGTGGAAAATCAATATAGACTCCCGAGAAACTCACCTGCTGATAGTCTCCGAACTTCGTCTGATAATCAAACACGTACAAGTAGGAATTTCTATGCTCGGCTGAGTGCAAATCGGCAGTATGCACAACCGGAGCCACGTATTGTGCATCGGATAAAGCTTCGAGAGTTTCGTCCCTAATATTAATCGGATGCTGGACGGGCCTTTCCCAGTCCGTGTACTCATTCACGATCGTCGCCAGGATTTCGGACAAATGATAACTGTACGTATTCCGGACGAATGTCCTCAGAATTTTCGATCTTCTGTCCGCCTCGATTCCGTATTGGACGTCCTCCCCGTTGAATGCGAAGTACGCTTCTGCCTTTACCACGCCGAGGAGCAAATCGTATCGGGAGAGTTTCGAAATGACCGATTTTCGCAACAGGACGTTGTTCAGGATGGTGATTGCGTTTTGCGGTTCTGGTTTAGGAGGGTTGCTGCTACTCCCGTCGAAGTCGTTGTAGTGGGGGTTGTCTCCACCTGCAAACAAAGGAAAAGGATTACATTAAGAGGATCTTCGAGATTCGAGAGAATTGGATGGTTGGGAGAATCGCCGAGTAGATTTTTCAGAACTATACAGAAAAACAATTTGCAACTTCAGCATGTCTACTGCAGAGGATTAACTTTTTACTGACATTGTTGAAAGTAACGGAAGAAACAATATTCCATGACCATATTCTGGAAAGCTAATTGGATAACAACAATCAGTGATCGGTTAGTTCCTGATCATCAGAGGGTTGTTATTATCTGAAGGACTCTGCTTCAGCAACTTCAGTTATATTGTCCCTGAGATTTTGAAGCCTTTGAAATAGAGTGTGATATTCCAATAGTCACAACTGATAAAAAGGAACAAGGCAGTAATAAAATAAAAGAAAGCTGTTTTTGTCTTTGGACTCTCCACCTAAGTGGTAAATGATTGTTCATTGGTTTTATAATATTTGCCAGTTTGATAATTTTTTGGGTCTGAATATTACATTCAACAAGACATTTTGCTTGGAAACAGTAGATATCACACAAGAAATGCAGCAATCCTGGAAGTGCCGAATCACCGTCTCCAAAAAATAGAACGTTGCCCAAAATACATGGTAATAACTTTGTTCAATCATCTACCAAACTGCTACAAAGATCTTCCTTTGAATCCATTTAAAATAGTTGTCAAAAATATATTATTGAAAAAAAAGATGTAGTAGTAGAAAGCCAAAAATTTTCTTTCCCAATAATTTATCTTATACCTATGCTGACTTGCTCTATATTATGCTAGACATAATCTAAAGACCTAATAAATTATTATTATTATCATTATTGATCAGTTCCAGTCCATTATTGTCACCTACCAATCCACCTTTTTCTTTATGTAACTACTGTTCATTTATGAACCTCGAAAGCCAAACAATGATTTCTTGCATAAGATCACGACTTAATGCCACCGAAAAGGTCAGTTTTGATCTTGACATCATCAATTCCAGCAACAGAAATTTCTTCCAAAATGAAAGGGGGATGCTTTTCAGTTTTGGCAAAAGCTTGAAATATTGTTCCGAACTAGAAAACTGTTCACACCTCAGCAAATTTTGTTTTTTTATAGAGCTCAGATCAGACCTTCTTTGGAGTATTGTTCACATGTATTGAGTTCCACCCCTAAGCATACATTGAAGCTGCTGGATTCAATCCATTCGCCTGATTGGAAACATGAACATCACTTGCAACCTTGATAGTCTGGAACATCGAAGAAAGGTTGAAGATTTGTATCTATAGATACTTTCACGGGAAGTGTTCAAGTGACTTAGCACATTTGAGTCCACCAAGAGCGGTACATATCAGAAATACGCGACGGACTGTGGTTGCTCAGTGTTTTGAGGTTCAACTCAGTAAACTTCAAACTTCATTGTTCAAGAACTCTTTGATTTGAAGAACTGCGTTTATGTGGAATGAACTGCCTGAGCACGTTTTCTAGCGATTTAAATCCAACATTGCGACCTTCAGATCTACCAAAGACGCATTGCACTTGACCATCAGTGAAGACGGGAGTGGTTCGTTAAAAACATGTATTAAAGAAATAATAATGGGCGCCAGGTAAATTTACCCACAAATACCCTAAGTTATGTGCCTATATCCCTAATTTACCAAAGGACATGGAAACAACGGGTTCATAAAATAGATTTATTCAGAACCGGTGTACTTCATCAACAACATATGCAAATTAACTGAACTATTCAACATAAACAAGTTTAAAAGTCAACTGGATGGTTTGATGACTCCTTCTGAAAAATTCCTATAATAATTAAGCGTGAGTGACGGTAGCTATAGCAGTAGCAATTCTACGACTGACCGTAGAAAGGAATGTACAATATATTTGTGTGAGATCATGGCTTTGGATAATA